GGTTGTGTTGGTCTCAGTGTAATTCAAGGAGCTGTTCAAAGAAAAGCTTCAAAAATCATCGTAGTTGATGTAAACTCATCCAAGAAGGAATGGGCTGATAAATTCGGTGCCACTGATTTCGTTAACCCAACTGAATTGAAGGGTCAAAGTATTCAAGAGAAATTGATCGAGATGACCGATGGTGGTTGTGATTACACTTTTGATTGCACTGGAAATGTTGGTGTTATGAGAGCTGCTTTGGAAGCTTGTCATAAGGGTTGGGGTCAAAGTATTGTTATTGGTGTTGCTGCTGCTGGACAGGAGATTAGTACCAGACGTGAGTTATTCCCTTTTATTCTAGCAGCCGAAATTCGTTCAAGATCCAAATTACTGACATCTCTAACAGCATTCCAACTTGTCACTGGACGTGTCTGGAAAGGTTGTGCATTCGGTGGTATCAAAGGTCGTTCCCAATTACCTCAATTGGTCGATGATTACATGCAAGGTAAATTGAAGGTTGATGAGTTCATCACTCACAGACAACCTTTGAAGGGAATCAATCAAGCATTTGATGATATGAAGAAGGGTGATTGTATTAGATGTGTGGTTAATATGCGAGAATGACTCCCTAGCACGGAGAAGGAAAATGAAAAGGCAAGATTGTGAGATATGTATAGTGGAGGATGCCAGGTTGTGATGATATGACCGAAATGAAAAATGTATATGAAAGGATCTTGAAGGGTCAGGGTGCGATTTTGTTGATGTGTGGGTATGTGGATATGTGGATTGGATGTGTGAATATGCGAATGATTTTTTGTTGGATTTAGATCTAGATTTGGATTTTGTTTGGGTACGCTCAATGTACTTACTTACTCACTTGATTATAGGATTGTATTGTTTATGGTATGCACATTTCGGGAAATCTCTTAATTTGGTATGTGATTCTATGGGTGCCTGTCTACTATATCTTGTGTCTCGAAATGAGATTTCCTTGATGGACTGTCAGTGTCTGAATTGGAAATCCTGTATGCACTTTCTGCTGGGCTGGGCTGAGTGTTATGTAGCACGTTTTCATTGATTTGTTTAACATGGGTAGTTATGTGGTGGATGATTGTTGCCGTGTGGGGTTTGAGGTATGTTTTGGTTTTGGTCTTGATTTTGGTTTGGGGGATTGCAATTTGTGGTGAGTTTGAGTGGATTGGAGCGGGGTGGAGTGGAATGGGACGATGAGTTTGTTGTTTTGTTTTGTTTTGTTTTGTTTTGCAATTGTGAGTATGAGTATGAGTGCGGATATGGGTATGAGTATTCAATAGTGAACTGGAGTGGCGTTTGAGATTCAGTGGAGGTTGTGAAAGGAGGGTTGGAGCGGGGCCGGGGGTATGATATATACATGGGGAAATAGTAAGCCTTAATATTTATAATAAGTATACAGGCAGTGGAATGTATGTATTGTTGGATGCCTAGGTATGCAGGTTGGGGATTTCCTTTCGAAACTACTTAGTGGGTGGTGGTAGGTAGATAAATACAGAAGTACCGAAGTGTTTAGATGGTATAGGTGTATGCCGCTAAGATACATATCATATATTCAAACGTCCAATACTCGGGAATGATGTTGGAAAATCGGTTAGCTGGGACTGGGCTATTGGAGGCGAAGGATTTAGCTACTTTGGGGTGTCATGGTATGAGATACTAGGTAGGGATCTATGGGTTTGAGGGGGGTGAAAAAGATTGGTTATCTGGCTATCTGGTCATTTGATTATAAGGATTTTATAACAGAATGGTATGTAACAATGCTAGTGCATGGTTCAGTTCGAGGGCCAGAATAGCCTCGAGTAAATCTCAGAGAATTGATAAGTTGCATCTCTTCCAAGTAATAAATACACCACCTACTTTTGGAATTTATGTCACAAGAATAAAGATCTATTTGTTTGAGGGAGATATAATGCCATGATCTTTTTGTTATTTGATTATGAGTATCTATTTTACAGCAATATGGTATCCGAAAACCCGTGTTAGAGAGTGCTAGTGCATGATTTAGTTCGAGGGGGAAAACAGTCTCAGGAACTATCTAGTAACATCCTATCTTCTCGTAGATGGTAGAAATCCTCATATTCCATATCTCTCTATCTCTTCGCGGTTTTCTAGTGAGAGATATAAAAATCAGTATCCTTCGAATCTCGGGGCTGTTCCCGGGATAGTTAACGCACACTCACACACATCCATCGTCTCATTAGCCAAAGCTTCAACAGGTTCCGAAACAGATCGTGTAAGATGTTTATAAGTCGTCATTGCTAACTGTGAATTCGGACTCTTGGTCTTGGAACCAGATCGCGCGCTGGGTTGGTTGTTGAAAAGGTGGGCTGGTGGTGGGTGCGACGGTTCGTCCAGCATGGGTCCTTCAATGAATCTACTTTTGCGGGGTTGGAGTTTTGGGGGTTTGAGAGAGGGGATAAGGGGACGTTTTGGCGTGAGGATGAGGTTGAGAATGAGAAGGTGGATGGCATGGTGGGTGTGTGGTTTGGGGGGTTGCTTGAGGAGTTGTTGGAGGTGTTGGGTGCTGGGAGGTCGAAGTGCTTCAAGTGAAGTGATTGCTTGAGGTCTTGAGAAGATAATTATCGATGATGTTCTACAAATTTGTAAGTAGACGACTGCAGGTTTGATTCTCTGAGATCTGGTTTGATCCTTTTGACAGTTCAATAAACAAATGAGAAGAAGCAGAAAATAAATGCATAAGAGAGTGGGACACAGGACCTATATGCTCATAGACACAGTGGTAGGCTATGATTGAGTGACTGTTTGTAAGTGCATAGTCAATAAGTCATATTCCTAATGATATCATCACATGGATCTTGTGACTCCTGGAGTGAATGAAGATGAGGCATGACTGGGGAAATGACTGTTTGGGGATGTTTTCATGGGGTTTTTTGGGTTGGATTGGATTGGATTGGATTGGAGGGGATGGTTATACAGTGATAAGATTTTGCTGTGTGCTATGTGCTTGTAGTAAAGTATTTAGGGGATGTATAGATGGTTTGATTGAGGGATTCTTGGACTATGGTATGGTATGGTTTGATTTTCTTTATGTTTTTATATTGTGTAGTGGGGGTTTGAGTACGTGATATAGATAGTTTCAACGGAACAGATGATGTGTAATTTCTAGAGTATTAGTAAGTTGTAATTTGTAAACACTTGCGATTTCTAATATACCTAACAACAAATTCAATAGTACCCATTCATTTCTATATCATTTCCATATTGTCATCCCCAACTTCCATGAAGACCATATCCGATACTCCTGCCCTTCCTGGATATTCTCCATAAATATCCCAAACATCCTTGAGTATCTACTCATCACATCACACAACCTACATAGCCTAGATAATCTACATAACCACACATCCACATCCTGAACCCTCTTCTACTTTTACTGGCGCTTTTTGCTAGGAGGAAGGAATTGTGTTAGTAAATGAGATATTTTTGTGTATTCATATACGTATACGTATATGTATATGTATCTGGGCTGGATAGGTAGACACGGAAAACTCACAGGTAGAGGAATAGCCGAACTTGGAACAGGTGTATTCATTGGATTTACAGTGATAGGGGGATAAATAGCCGAACTTGGAACAGGTTTCCGAGGAATCTTATGCGGAACGGGTGGACGTGGTCCATAAACAAATTTTGGTGGTGACTTGATGGGCCCATCCATGCTTTCGGTGAACTTACTGACATAGGGTGCTTTTTTTTGAGGCATGTTCGGTTGAAGTGGTGGTGGGAGGCTGGAGTTGTGAGTGTTGAGGATGAGTGGTGGATTTGTGATGGAGATTGGTGTATGACTTTGATGCTCAAGTGAGTTATCATGAATTGAAAAGTGTATTGATCAAGTTCTACGAAGTCAAATATAAGTCTGAATCTTAGATGACCCGCTCTGGGTTAGGAAAGTTCTCCAAGCTCTTGAGTTGTAGAATTATACATTCCATATTACTCATTAGATATGATAGGATATGAGTCTTGAATTTTGGGTTTTGGGGCTTTGGTGGGCGGAGAGTCATAGTCGGGGGTGATGGCTTGAGGTTGTGAGTAATTAGAGGGGGTGACTGGGGAAGATGACTGTTTAGGATGTAGTTTTGTGGTTTTTTGTAAGAGAGGATGGGGCTTTGAGGGGATGACTTTGTTTTGCTATAGGAGTTCATGAAGAGGAAGCGAGTCTATGTTTCTATTGATTCTCATACCTAGTGGTCTGGTCGATTTATATGGAGTATATTTAGGAGCTATGCTAGCGATATATACTATGGCATATTTGCAGTATTCACTAGATTTCTGTTAAAAGCCAGAACTGTTTTTGGCTTTCTTGTATAATTAGAGTAGGAGACTATGGTAGAGTTGAAGGGGTGAGTGGGAGAATTTGAAGCAAGTTCTCTATAGTCGAGAGTGCTTAATTGGGCGCTTCGTCTGATTCTTGAAGATTATTTCGATTAAATTTGATGAATTTGTGTACAGACAGTTCCGAATTTGATCTCAGACTATTCTACTTTGACCTTGTAAAAGAGAGTAGGATATAGGCGAGAATGTGAGATCTAGAAGACTTGATATGTTTATAAGTTATGAGTACTCCTGATCAAACAGAATTTTATACTATGGCTGGCAATTTCATGAGTTCAGTAGTATAGAAAGAAAATGGTTAGAAGAGCGACTGTCAGAGACACATTTAACTTCCTCTCCAAACAGATTTAGTTTATCATTAAGAGATCCATCAATACTGTAGAAATCTATCTAAACAACGATGGCTTATTACACAAATAATCTATACTCAAAACACTGATGCTAAAGTCTAACGACACCAATTGGCGATTTCAATATACCAAGTTCCCACACCACTCAAAGTGGAGAATCAGAGGACCTCAAAAAGATTCCAGTAATTCCCATCCATGCTAACTCCTACTTACGTGATTACTAATGAGAATACAATATTCAGTATTCTCATAGAGCTGTGGTTTTCATGATGCGAGTTATATCTTCCACTAACGACGTTTCTTCTCCTTTTCCTTTCCCTATCCGAAAAAGTTAGCACACTTCCAATCTCATAACGAATCGAGGGTGATACTTTACTCACAGAAGATTGTCCCGACGGATGCGGCTTGGCTCTATCTGAACGTGGCTGCGATGGTTTCTGAGGACGCTCTCTTTGTTTCTTGAGGGTATTTGGGACGGGTCGTAAAGGTCTTGCTTCAAAATGGATAGTTTTTTCTGGTGGTTTGGGAATGAGTGGTGTTGGGGGCCTGCGAGATCTTGATGATGAATGTCTAGGGGTTGCTGGTGGTTGATGTGGTATTGGTGGTGGTGGGTGTGATATTGGAATCCGTTGTGGAAATTCTGTTTCTAACCGGTGAATATTTTCTGATGTTCTGCGAATATTTGGTGCTCGAGTTCTATGAGATCTTGCTGAATAATGAATAGGTATTGCTGCTGGTTGATGCGATGAATTTGTTATTGGTATTCGTTTTAGAAATTTTGTTTCTGACTCACTAATGTTTTCTGAAGGTTTGGGAATAGTTGGTATTGGAGGTCTGTGAGATCTTGCTGATGAATGAACAGATATTGCTGGCGATTGATGTGGCGGCGGTATTGGCGGTAAAGGTCTTGATTCAACCTGGCGAGTTCTTCTAGGCGGCTGAGGAGTGGTTGCTACCCTCGACTTACGAGATCTTGCTGATTCCCGTTGGTGCTCTTCAATTTGACGATCATAAGCATCTAGCCTGTCATATTCATTCGCTAATACTCCGAGGTCCAGTTCTTGTTGTGCTAGGAGTTGTTCAGCTGGCGAATGTATCCTGCTGGATCCAGGTCCTGAATGAGAAGGTTCCGAAAATTGCATTGAGGATCTTCGTGATGATTCTTGATGAATTACGCCTGCGATGGACTTATGTCTTTGCAGGTCGCCTGCTGTTACTGTTTGTGGTTGAGCATGCTTGGTTTCCTTTACAGTTTGTTGTAACTTCTGATATTCTTTCCTTGGCCGGAAGTTCTCAAAATCAGAGAATTCTCTCTTTAGCTCTTCGCTATTCATTGTTGATGGAATTCGGGGCGATCGTGGACAAATCCTGCTTCGCGACGAACATGTTTTTGCTCCCAAAGGCGGCTTAGGGTAGTTTGCTTGCGGTGGGATATCTTTTATCTGTGGTCGGATAAAATTGATTTTCTTCCCAATTCCTACTTCTATATTCTCATCTAGACGATATTCATATTTTTCTAATGGCTTTCTTGGTATCTTAAATTCAGATGACTTTGCAGGAAGTGGGTATCCGTAAGTCTTACACATTTCTGGAGATAGATTATCATAGTAATTTGCTTGCTCCTTTGAAAACGTCAAGGCTGATGGTGGTGATGGTTGATCTTGGGGATCTTGTGTCTGTGAGTACGATTGGCGAAATTTTTGTGGTAGCTCAATAGCAAAAGGCTCTCTACTTCTGATTGGCTCCACTTGGGGAGAATCAAGGTATCCTCCTCTTGCCATATACGCAACCAGGTCAGGTTCTTTCTCTGGTGACCTAGGATTCTGGGATGACGTCTTTCTTGATTCGGCGCTGAGATTTGAGCGAGAAGCAGCAACTTCATGTCGCGAAGCTTCAATAGACTTTCTCTGGGGCTCGGGGGGCTCTTTCTGATTATGCTTAGGTAGTTTGAAGCGGAGTTTGGATTGTAGCCATGATCGTTTGTTAGTCCTATTATTTGGAGCTGGCTTATTTTCCAGCTTGGACTTTTGAATCGGATTGTGCGGCATGGCGTGAATTTGATCGATAGCGAGGAGCAAAAGGTGAAAACTCAACGGTAGTACAAGAGTGGGGATCTTGCGAAGTATATGTAGTAAGATGGGTGTGTATGAAGATCTCGATGCTGGTAGAAACTTTGGAAATCCTTTTAAACTTAGTTGTTGTGAGAACTGTGGGAAAGTTCCCCAATCGATGGAGATGGAGATTATACATATGTTGTTAGACAAGATTGTGAATGGTTAGCTTTTGTGGGTGTGTAGTCATAAGAGACCCCAATAAGCTCGATAGTTTCGCTTATGACTCCTGAGATTATGATAACTTATAAATACCTTTGAGTTCTTAGGCAATTTCGGGGGTGAAAGGTTGAAGGAACGAAGCTTTATTGACATAATATGCATATGAATCATGTATCGCGTGGGATTTGAAAGTCATAAGTATTACACTTATGAGTCCTAGAGTATCCTAGAGTAGTTGGAGGAAATGACTGGAAAGAGTGACTCGTCCTGCTGGAAATGCTGGAAAATGAGAGAGAAAATCAGAAGGATGTTGAAAGGATGGAATGTTTGTGGCGTATAGTTCTTAATTTATAATTATAGTCACATCAGCGCTTGAGGAGCGAAATTCACATCCATAGTTTGGAGTCAAGGAGGTCAGTTGAGGTTTTTATATAAGAAGCTCCTTAAGAGATGTGAAAAGCAACGATTACGTATTGTACAGTCAGTCTATATACTGAATCCATAATCCATAATACCATACCATCAGGAAAATCTCATAATTCTCATGAAAAGCTACATCCTCTGAGAAACACAGCATCAATATCATTCCCAAACAACCATATGCAGAACTCCGTCTTCGGCCTACATGACCGAACAGCATCCACTCTCTTTCCATCAAAAAGTTAGTGTACTTATCCTGAATGAATAAATAGTTGAGATCTTACCTCTTTAGGATTATTTTCGAAGAAACGATCTTTTGCAATTCTGTTACTTTCCTGCATTTTATCGAAGGTGTCGCCATTTCGACCGTGTTTCTTCTTTTCGACGGACGGTTTATTTCTTGCGAGATTGGAGGTTGTGGCGTTTACGTGCTTGATCGTACCAGGCTCATAGTTGTAGAGGTCAGTGTAATCATAACCCGACGTTATTACCGCGCTTGGAGTTGACATAGTTCCTGGGTTTCGAGACTTTAGGTATTGGGTCGTAGATTGGAAAATGAGGGCTTGGCAATCAAGATGCGAACCGGAATCTTGTAGTTGATTTGAAGTGCTTTAAGTCAATAGAATGTGCGATTCAGATATGTGAGACTACAAATACTTATAAAGGTAGGTAGGATTCGACCTAAAGTTATTTAGTATTTGAGTGTTTGTTCTGTTTTGGTTTCTTGAACACATCTGCAGCAAGAGCAGAACTACTTATCATAAATTCGAGGTCCTAATGAGTCGCATTAGGCTTTCTTGATATGAATCATAGACATGTCTACTATTGTAGTTGTGAGTAATGGGAGGAGATGACTGGAAAAATGACTGTTCAGGAAATGGTTTTCAAATGAAGGATGAAAGGGCAATAATTGAATTGGAAAGTGATAGAGGCTATCGATATAAATCAATAAGTAGTGAAAGACCTTTTGGGCTGCTCAGAATTTTCTAAAGCAACAATTGCATATTATAAAGTTCAAGAGTATCCGAAACTCCAGTAATATCAACACCTCGCCACACTACCGAGCAAGAACCTTTGTGAAATACAACAATAAGCTATGCTCATGATACCATTCCCAGCACCCTACATCACCAAGCAGCAACCTCCATCGTCACTACTAGGTTTCTACCCAAAAATCAGTGTCATTCCTTTTTGCATGAGAAGAAAAACATATTTTACTTTACTTTTTGAGGTGCCGGTCTAGCAACAGATCGCTTGTGTTGAGCCCATACTGGCGGTCCCAAATTTCTTCTCGCTGTTCGATAGTCTTGGATATAAGGATGCGATTTCTCCCACATATTGGGCATCTCATGCAACGGGCTTTGTCCATATTTCGAAGCAAAACTGACTGTTGGAGACGGCGGTGCTGGATTTGGTCCTTGTCCTTTCTTTTCTTGCTGTTCTTGCAGTTTTCTTATGCGGTAATATTTATCAGCACTGGGAATGTCATCGCTGATATACTGAAACCTATACCTGGTTGAGTCGATTGCAGGTGGCCCTCAGACATATTTATGCGAGGCTTTCTTATGTGAGAGGAACCTGGGTCCCTCCCAGTGTTGACGGAAAGCATACGTAGGATCTAGTTCTTCTTGCGTCAGAGCGCCTTCAATGTCCCAGCCACAACTGAGCTGTGAGGATGGCATTTTCGTTGAATTCGAGACTTCTTGGGTTGGATATCAAGAATGGAAATGAAGACTATGAGATTTATGGTAACGATTGTGTGAGTTTTAGTGCTTGGTTTGAAACGCTTTGAGTAACCTTTTGCGGAACTTGGTAAACGTATGTGTGCTTGATGAATTGAATGTTTTGGGGTGGAAGTTGTGCCTTTTGATTCGTTCCTAAGAAGATGAAGATATATTTATGTACACTCATAAATGCGGGTTAAAAATCAAATCACTTACGGATATGATATCCACAGTCATATAAACAAGTCCTCAAGACATTACAGTCATGCAAAGAGGACTGGAGGAAATAACCAGTTCGTTTGGTCATTCCACGCACAGTTTGGAGCCGTGGTAAGAAAGTCAGAATTTTGTAATAAATGGTACAAGACTACGAGACCATTCATGATGTAAAGATCGTGGACTCAGCTAAGCTCCCGGAGAAGAGAAAGGACGGCTATTGTCAAGAAATAGAGTAGAATCAGCAAATTCACCAATATACCGTCATCTCGTGGGGCTATACTCCCGATAAAATTGATATGTGTCATCAAAATCATACCCAAAATGACACATTTACTACTACATGTATCGTACCACTTGAGCCATACTTTTCATCACCGCATAATCCCCCCCTCTCCCTTTCTTTTCTCTCAAGAGAGGACTATCATTTTTTCAATTTACCAGATCGAAAATATAATGAAAAGGAGCAAAGGTTGCCTCGTTTTCATACTCAAAAGAACGATGACAACCCTCGTCCGTAACGACCCGTACTTCAGTGAAGCCTTTCTATCCTCGGTTTAAGACCAAACTTATGTTCCTTTAGAAAATCCTAGAATTTATCACATCGGCTTGCCTTGAGAGGGTGGCATGATAAATGATTTTGGGGCTGATTCGATGAGAGAGTAAAGGCGATGAGGTGGGTGAGTATACAGGAAGATCTAGATATCAGTAGCAAGTCCGATTTGACGTGTGCAAAAAAAATGACTGTCGATGAGCATTTGCAGGTAAACCAATATGTGATTTTAAAATTCGAACAGTGCGCTTTGAGATTGTGACTTAAATCCTGGAGTGACTGTAAATCTCACAATACGAAGATATGTATGCTACATGTGGCAAGTAAATGAGTCGTTCGATGTTTGTGGGAGAGTTATAGGGAATGAGTGAAGCAATGTGTGAACTTCAAAAATGAGCTATCATTAAGAGTCACAATATAGGATGAAAGGATACATGACCTTCAATAGCTAGCTCCTGTTGATTTGATGATGATATAACAAATTCGCGAAAACTATGCTATGAGAAGAGCGTGCCTTGCGATTTTCTTGATATTCTTTCCAAATTTCCGCCTTTAAAATACGCATATTACAAAGCGCCTAATTAATTCTCTTCTGTAGTCCGCGCCGGGTCACTGTCGGTATCTCTTTGTAGTTCACTTTTGCCCCCTTTCCCATACGCCGACTCTGCCCATTAACCGTTTTAGCCATTGGAATTATTGCCCTTTTTCGCAACAAATACCATAATTTAATTTTATCAAGCTCCTTATTCCCCTTCTCCGACTAGAAGTACCAATTTCCTTCCAAATCTGTATTTAACAAACTGTCAAAAAACATCGTATTATCCACTTGTAAATTAGACCAATCATCAATTTGTTGTTCCGGCTCCAACGGTGGAAACTGGCTACTCTTAAAGGAAACAATAGGTTGAGCAGCAGCCCATGGGCAATTAAGTGAATTGTCAAATTCATTCTGCACATGTTGTGAGTCTCCCGGGGTCATATCTTGCATAAGAGACGGAGTCGTATTCAAAGACTGGGCGTCGATAGAGGGAGTTGATTGGGTGATATTTGTAGCGGGTGTTGAAGATACGGGTGTACGTGCTATTGAAATTGTACCGAAATAAGGGATTGTGAGACGAAGATTTCCACTTGTGCTGGTTGATGCGAGAAGGGTTTTAATAACCTCGACACTTTGAATGGCCATTACATCATCTTCTGAAGCGCATTCGCCCATGACACCCAAGACAGTTTCAACGAGTTCTCTGTCAGATCTTTTTTGACCTTGGACTGCGATTGTGTCGCCGCCTACTGGAGGGGTTTCCAGTACACTCAAGAGAAGAGTTACGCTTGCCGTGAAAGCTCCAAAATCAATCACTTTGCAACAAAAAGATTTGGTACCTGATCGTCTGATGGTGAGATAGCGCGATATGATTTCTCGAGATGATTTGAGACAGGTAAATTTACTATATTCGTGGCGACGTTCGGTGGCAGCTCTAACCATAAATGGTAAGTGTAAAAATGATTCCAATTGAAAGTAGTAGATCTGTGACATGATTCGATCAAATTTTGAGGCGGAGTTCGGGTCTTTACTGACGGTCTCGATGTGACTTGGCACTTCCCACCAAGATGCGGGCATTCCCCTACCAATATTTTCAAGTTTCTCATCAAGGTCTTGAGTACTAGCAAATGCATGAATATAGTCGGATTGATTTCTCTCGATTATTCCTCCAGCTAAATTTGTAAGCTTTCTGATGAATAGAATGTCATGATCGACATTAGGATTGCTGAACGTTTCGTGAGATAAAATCACACTATCCTCCGCTCCAGCAGGCATGCCTAAGAGTAAACTCAAATATCTGTCTGCCTGCATCAAACTTCTCCAAAGGTTGACTCCTCCAGGTGGTAAAGGTGTAGTACTAAGCTCTTCGCGTTTGTGTAGACCCATAAGCTGACCGATATTCATAGCTCGACGGAAAGTAAGCCATGCGCGACGTAAATTACCCGCATTCATATGAAACAATCCTTGGAGTACTAAACATTCCAGTCCTTGAACAGAAGCTACAAGTTCGTCATCCGAAGTCACGAGCCCTGACACTGTTGACATGATCTTATCTACTCGAGCTTCGATACTAGTAGTGATGCCCAATTGGCTTGCGTCGTATCCATGAGGTACTTGCTGTAAGCATACAGCCATATAAAGAAGTATTTGTGCTATCATTGCGGGACTTTCTTTTGCGATGCTAGGAACATTGAATGAATGATTCGGATTGAACGCTGATGGTTCTAGCATAATGTGAGCTGAGTGGTTTGTCAAAGAATGCAATAATAGCCAGCAATCAGAGAAAGAGCAAAGTAAATTCGTGGCTTCCTGTGATGGAAGAAGTTCTATTAGAACATCTTTGATCCTTTCAACCTTTGTTGGTATGCAACATTGCTTGTTTGTCTTTTCGCCACTTGGTTGAGATTTTGGGGTTGTGATCTCGGATTGGCTTTCCTTTTCTCGGCGACCTAGCTTTAAAGGATGTGAGCAGATATATTATTTGGGATTTGGAGATACTCACAACAGGATTATCAAAAAGGGACAGGATAGGTACAGTTGTAGCGCTGTCGTATCCATTTGAGGCGGTATTTGCAAATGGTGCAAGAACATCACCAGTACCCATGCTTTCTGGAGTATGAATCTTAGTCGCATTATCTTGCTCTTCATACTGTTCCATTTTAGACATCAATCTATCGAGAACAAGCTCTATACGACCGAGGCGTTCACCAAGCTGAGGACCACCTGAAGTACATGTTCTTCTGGATATTCTTGACTTATACAAGTCGTTCCACGTGATAAGCAACCAGAACAAATACTGACGTTCTCAGAACTCAGTTGGCACTTGACTTTTCTTCTTTTGCATTCCCAACAACTTTTAGTCCCTTTTCTAACGCGCTTCTTACGATGTTCATCTTCCGCTAGAGCTACTGAAGCTGGTCGAACAGACATTCTGGACAGTGTGTACTGGAAAGTTCCAAGAAGCTTGAACGTCCCTTGAAGTTTGAATCTCGCGACGAGCACAGGGGTCGATAGCTGTTAGTGGGGATATCAAGCTATCTTCGGGTTGCCGGGGTCGGTGGATCCGTACTTTTGCGCTATCAACATCAACTTTAAAAGTCTATTTAATCGCCGCAATATAATAATATGATTCGTCTTTTGATGTAAAACAGGGAGAGAAGATGGGGGTTTTTGCGAATTGGGAGAGTGTTGAAAGTTTTCGAGAGTTTCACGTAAAGCAGAGACGTTCAAGGCGATTTCCCATATTTCTACCGCCGCATTCCGCCGAACGAAAGCTTCACGTGATCTATCCTTCAACACATCAACTTATGGTGGCTCCGCAGCCAAGATCACTTCACCCAATTATCAGCCATCATTCAACAGCTGAACTGCATCGTGCTGACTTGCTCGAGCTTGATTACTGATCACGACATATCTTACAAAAATTCCCCAATTGGGAACTAGTCGGCCGGTTGCAAGAGCCGACCATTCCGAAAGTCTGTATCTAGATTTGAAGATCAAATCCTCAAGGCTTGTCCTTTATCCCGATTCATCGTTTCCCCGTGTTTTCTGTCTCAGTTCTGTCTCAAAACCAATTGATAGTGATGATCTCAGATTGATCAGTAATCAATCATGGATAACACAAAACGTTCCGCTCGAGGGGATCGTGGAGAGCGAGGTAATGGTCAGATCAAACTCACGGGTACCAAGCTCACCAAACGTCGTGCGTCCCTGTCATGTCAAGCTTGTAGAGCTAGAAAGTTAAAATGCAATAGAAAAAATCATGTCAAAATTGTGTAATAAGGGGAGATATAGCCATCACTACTTGCTCATACGCCGAGAAGAATGATGCTCGCTTACCGGTGCTCTCTAGTTTGCAACCGGAGCAAGAAGATATGAGAGCACGAACCAACCGATTAGAAAACTCAATTCGATCTGTAATTTCTAAGGAGAAAAAGAACAAGATCCCTCTCTCTCCAAGTCTTGGAGAGAATCATGATGATCATGTCGGCCAAGCAGGTGGTCAAAAATCTTCCATCGATACAAGGTGTACACATTGAGATTCGATTCTCAACGATGTGAGCACAACGATAATCTACCATGAATAGCTCCCTGCTGAAACTTCAAAATAGCTCGGAGCAATGAAAGATGCATGGATTGATGACCACGATCAATTCGAGACATCCTTGCCACCGGCAACAACTTCTTATCGACCAAGTCTATTACGGGATTTACTGAGCCGCCTGATCGTATAACGATACCTGCATCTTTACCTTCCAGGGAAGAGGCGGATAAGCTTATTGAAAGATTCTTTGAAAGTTATAACCCCTTCCATACCTGCATGATGTAAGTGACCACTGGCCAGAACTATATCTATACTAGATTAGTGTATCAAGGAAGCTCATGAATAATAAAGATTTCTTTCACAGAACAACTTATATGAAGCAGGTGAATTTCCCCATACTATGTAAAGTAGTCAATAGTGTAGACCAATAGGTCTGATACAAAGGATTTTTATCCTGAATATGACTGCATATCTCAAAGAGAATTATGTCAGGAATCTCTCATTCTATAACTAGATTTTGCCAGTTGGAACCTCGATTTCGTGAGTCATCGGCTGACCTATCCCCTAGACTGAAATTTTCTGGGAAGAGCCTCACAAAGCTCGAATCATCTGAATTGCTCTATACTTCTCAAAAATGTGTTTAGCCCTGCAATCATATGCCCGTGACAATGACGTAACTCCTGAATATCAAGATACATTAGCGACAATCATAGACCTTTATCGAATCCGCACCGCCCAATGTCTCACAACAGCTGATATTACAAGACCTGTTTACTTGATGATAGAAACAATGCTATGCTACGCTTTCATTGAGTATGTTTGTGAACGAGATGGCGATATGGGTACCTGGCTTGTATCCGAGAATATTATGCGTCTAGCCCTATAACAGGGATATCATCGTGATCCAGATCAGCATTCCGGTCTCAGTGTGTATGAGGGTGAAATGAGACGTCGTGTTTGGCTGATTGTTACACAGCATGAGTAAGTAACTTTTGTTTGGGTAATATCTTCAATCAAATAATGCTTTCCTGGCCTGGTGAGCGGGAAGCACCTAAGAAATTCTCGATGATTTCCAGTTTTTGTCAATTCGGGCATAGGCAATCTTTTTATTACAATTTATCCGAGTAGAAACCCGAGGCTAGCTGAAGTTCTCGGGTGTATCTGATCCACACGATGATTGCCTAAACTCAACACTGCATCATGCTAAGTTAGAAGCACAGGTTACTTTTCTCCGTTCAAATTGGACTTCCAAAATCCATCAAATTCGCTGAATGCGATACCAAAGAACCCCGCAACCTTTGTGAGGGAGAGCTTTCCGAAGACAGGACCATTCTCTCCCCATTCAGACCTGATACTGAAGGCACACGCAATCGTTACCAACTCGTCCAATCTCGGATTATGCGTGCCTACGGCTATCTCATTGAATTTCTTCACATCGTCGAACCCCAACCATACACTGAAGTAATCAAACTAGAGGAAAGGCTCAAAAAATACCACGATCAAATCCCCGAGCATCTCCAATTCGGGACTCTTCCTCAAATGGCGCACGAGACCCCAGCCACTATTGCCAAAAAATTATTCCTTCAAGAGACTTACTATAAAGCTACGCTTCTTCTTCATCGCAAATATTGGAACGCAACACTACCTGGCAACCCAGATTAATTTCGTTGGTTTTCAAGACGTATGTGTGTATTATCCTCCATGGCTCTCCCAAACATCCAAGTCAGCATGCACGAAGCGAGTCAACCGGGTGGAATACTAGAGGATTCAAAATGGTGGCGTGTTTCCATGACTAATCATGATTTTCTACTCGCGGCTATGATTATGTGTTTAGATCTGAATACAAATCAAAGAACAGATCCAAGACGTGGGGGCATGAGTTATTGTGCTGTTGCTGAAAAGAAAAAATTGGAGGCATTGATCAGGGCGAGAGATATCTGGAAGGAGGTTGAGGGGAAGTGTAAGGATTCTAAACCAGCAGTGGATATTTTGGGGAGTTTGATTCAGAGGTTGACAGTAAAGGTACAGAATAATGTTGTGTTGGATTTAAATCCGGATTGTGTCAAACAGCCTCCAATTGTTGCGACTATGAATCAGGCGGATGCGGAAGTCCTCGGTAATGCGGTACCAATGTATACAGATATCTCTGTGCCGACAATGTTTACGACCCAAGATGACAGCTTCAATGATATAAGTATGATTCCAGAAAATATGTTCGATACAGAAGGCATTTTTGGAACCTTTGGGGAACAAGTCGATGTACCTGGAGATTTTGATCGAATGAGTTACATCAGCCCCTATGCTATTACTTCATACATGGCTGACTAAAAGTTTAGGATGCATGGGATCAAATCACTATAGGTCCGCATGCTTTAGGTCAGGAAAGAGATTTTGAAATGCGCGAGTAGTATGTTTGATGCTAGCTTTTGCCGCTTTTGCCGGCATCAAAACTATTACCTGTACTGATGATATGTATACAGTTGCTAGCTACGCAGCACCAAGACAATCGCAAATTTAGAAGGATTTACCCGAAGGTTCATTTTTTGTGTGTGTTTATCAATACAGAATTTTTTAGACATTTCCTGAAATGCTCGGTTTCCGTGCCTTTCCTATAAAAAGCGCATTTGAAATCAAATCCGCTCTTTTCTTTCACCAATCATATCAATGATTCTGGATTATGGCTTACAGGTGAGTGGAGTGATGCCGTTGGCTTCATTCAAACTTCTGAGGAAAGCAGGATTTTGGGGCTTGAGATGAATAAACGAGAGGGGGTAAATGGGCAAATAGGGATGTTCGGTGATCGAAGAAATTGGTGATGAGAGAGATTTATGGCAGTGAATGTTATGAAAATGACAATGCGGAATCAATCTCGAAGATGACAACAATTGCATATCTTGGAAAGTGAAATCAAGCATGATACCACTTTGTGACCGAGTATCAGGTTATTTAAGATTGTTCTATCTCTATTCAGTAGCCCTATTGACACCAAAGCAAGTGTGGGTTTCTCTCCTTTCCATTTCTCTATTAAGTTTCCTTCCACAACGAAACAGTAAAAGTAAGGAGGGATCTTATGTACTCATACCTTTTCTTCATAATTTTTTTTACTTTTTTGAATTCGGTCATGCGTACACGATTTCTACGCGGCAACCTATAGAGTGTAGTAGCTAAGATCTAATCAAATTTACCAATAAGATATAACGATTACAGTTATACTTCTTAATTCTTGAAATCTCAATCTGGGCTGCGCACAAATTATCTGTACCCATGAATTATCTACAGATAATCTACTTCATAGGTTATTTATTAAAGGTTTTACTCACTTTGTAGATTATTTATCAAGACTTTAAAATTACTTGTTTTGTATAAATAATCCGTAAATAATCTGTAAATAATCTATTTATTTATGAATAGATAGATTATTTACAAATATATGAATTATTTGTAAATAATTTGCAAATTATTTATGAATAATTTATGGATATATAAATTCTTTGAAAAAAGTAAAGAATCTTCGTTTTTTTCGCTTAAAATATAAAGCTATTCTTAAATTATTTTCTAGTTCAAAAGTAATCCAAGTTTAGATTTATATTAATTTTTATATTAATTATAAAATTATACTAATATTATAAAAGATTATAAATAATTATATAATATATAGATAGGTAGATATTCATAGGTAATTTGTATCTACCTTATAGATTACTTATTTAGATTCTGAATTATTCGTTCTATAGATAGATTATCCGCGGATTATCTGTCAAGGTTATTATTCGCCCCGCGGGTACTCGTTGCGCAGCCTATCTCAATCCGACGAGATTCTGCGGAATAAAAAACCCCAAGTACCTGAGAACTTCCATCGCGGATTACTATGGAAACAAATCCGAGTGAGAAATTATGGCTGGTGGAAGATATATCTAGTTCTGGGAACGTGTGGAAAAGCAACTCTGCTTGTATGAGAGCTAGAGCGTAGAATATAGGTGTGATTGCAATTGTGTGCTTACAGTATGATTGACAGCAGTGAGGTGCATCACTGACGACGAGGGATACGAAGCGACAAAAAAGAATGAGTGCTCAAGGACTTTCATCCTAACAATCGCACATTATCTTCAAGGATTTTCTCATCTTTTCACTCTTGGAAATTGAGCCCAGAAACACTGGGGTGGCAGCAACAATGTTTATTCGCGTAGTATGTATTAAGTTTTGGCAGATAGGGGGTTTATAGAGTATATACTCATCTTTGATGCTCACTCTCGTTACATAACCATAAAGAGTGTGTTCTATACGAGCTAGATATCCGGAGCTTCTACGAACGAATGCTTCGAAGAAATTTGTGACTCTTGAGTATATAAAGCACGACGTCTTCCTCTTCTTTTTTCCCGTATGAGTTATAACAGAAAGGCCAGAGTACTCGCAAGAAATACTAGTAGTTTGCCAGCTTTAAGCTATTTAGTTTCATCCTATCTACGTTACGTCGGATTTATCCTCGTATATCTTATTCATAGGCTCAAGGTATTACATCTCCATTTCCATCTCCATCTCCATTGTTGTCACCATCAATATCAGCTCCAACCCTCATTCTTATATGCAACAGCTGCAAAATGCTACCATGACAATAAAAAATTGTCACCACCAAATATTTTCAAATTCCAAGGCCATGGTTTCCGAGTCTTAAATATAGCCATCAACAGGTATCCAGTTTCGAATTCAGCAATGAGATTGTAAGAGAGCTGCAGAAAATATGCAACCGGGGCATGAAGATGTAGTGTAGCAATCGCTCGAAAGAATGAAGAGCAGATGTATTTGAGAGGGGGTGGACTATTTATGCAAAAGTTGATCTTCCTCCCAATTTTTGATGGTTTTTGAGGTGAGGGCTCTTCAGTATTGATTCCATAAGGGGTTGTAGTATCCTAGTGCATTTTGTAGTCTTGCATAATATGTCCGAAGTTCACCAGCCTGTTCTTAATCATATCTTCCGACCAAACCCTTGGGTACATGTGAGCACCATAAGTAATTTTCACGAATCTCTCAGAATTTTTTGGAACAAACGAAAGTAGGAAACATCCAGAAGACGAGCTAAGGTGACAAGATACACTAGGACCCCAGATATTTTCCTTACTAGGTTTGTTAAGATCTTGAAGCTGGACATCTCACAGAAAACGCGATGGATATAATCCGATGTTTCCTAGCAACGAAAAATAACAACAATAGCAAGGAAGCATATTGACGGCGATGAAAAGAGCCAAAAGTCAGCAAGCTCTTGAGGGCGATGAACAAACATTGTCTGCCTATCCACAACCTTTCATCTTTTCAGATCGTTTTGTGAATAACAAATTAACACAACATCACAGTCAAAATTCGCGTGCGTCATGAAGTTTGTCCCATTCTTCTTCTAGTTTGCTTGGGATGAAAGCTCTAGACATAAAATACTCTTTGAGCCAGCTTTATTTATATAACTTTGATTCTCGACCTCGACGATCTCGACCGCACAACAATTTGTGAGACTCGACTTATACAGCTTGCAGATGCGGTACTAATGAGATAGTATCCTCTCAAACGTCATGGGAGATCCAAAAACGACGCCTTGCATTTCATTCTCAAGCTCCCCAGCTTTCAGTCCTTACTTCACTTGAAGTTTCAAGGTATAGGGTTCTCGAACCCCGCCTTTTCTTCCTTCTAAAACATGACTACCTGGAGAGCATGACAAGGCACAGGAAATTCAGAACAGCTATTGATCAGACTTCCACGAGAAACATTTTCCCTATTTCATGATCGACTTTACTCGATCAATTGGTTCTCTGTCCATTGTGGGTTCACGTTGCTATTAAAGATTTATCGGCAGTGGAGAAGACACGGTAGTGAAGATTCAATACCGACAGTCAATTAGTATGTTTTGAAAGACAATAGAATTTCACTACTACTACCGTCCATCAAATGCCACAAGTCTTTCGACCTCTAACGTCCCGTGAGTTCTCTTGAAGTATTATTGTCCTTCGCATGAAAGGATCAACACTAGTTGAAATAACATCTACTTGCCCATTGGATAGAGGAATCCTCAATAACCGTACTTTATTTCACAAAGCTTAAAGGCCTACCTTCATGAAATAAAAACTTCTCTCAATGGCCCGTTGACGCCGTCGTAGACACTGCCACCAAACGCCGGGCAAACAAACGAATAAACGGATAATGGCACGGGAAATACACACATAACCTTAACTAATCTTACCGATAAATAGCCGTTTAGCTCGCCAAGCGCCGGATGGATGATACCGCGCTTGTAAAGCTTATCGCAGTCATGACGATTGTGGATCCCTTTTGATCCATGTTAATGCACTTCCTGCCTGCTTGGCTTACCTGGGGGTATATTACATCGCTTTTCAAATTCCTATCGGGATTGACATTACCAGATGGGAAAAGGAAAGAAAATACTGACTTACGTTCGAATTGGATTTACCTTGATAACCTTAGATGGAACTGGTACATCTCGTCTACCTTTGATGGGGATGGCAAAACAGCACGCCAATACTGAAGATAAAAATCTCAATCAAGTTACAATTCTTGGTAAACAGCTGTATAAACCCTTAGACTTGAACGGTTGAAGAATCGAAGAATCGAAAGGTTAAAAAGCGGGTTCGTGTGACAGCACATCGAAAGTCCTTGGAGAAGATCTGGATCACTATGTAGCTTCCAAACTAGAAGTCTAGTGTCTAGGCATACACAATCAGTTTTCGGTGCCGATATGAATGTTCGATTTCGATTTGCATAGATCGAGTTTCAGAAAGTCCTATTTCCGAGCAAGCCTGCTCTGATATGTATCTTCGGAGTCCGCAAAAGTTTCCGGACGGTGACACGATCATAAGTGACTCGTGAGTGACGGTGCGACTGATGTGTGTATAAGAATAACTTGTAATCCATCCACTACCTTCATCGCATCATCCGATTATCTACAAACAAAGTGATCTCGACCACTCCAAAACTCTTTTCTAAAATTCATCGCAATCATGACAGGTATGAGAGTTGCTCAATTGTTAGAGCAAGGAAAGCCTTTGAAAGTAACGACGATTGAGAAGCCAACTCCAGGACCAAAAGAGGTTCTCGTCAAAGTCGAGGCCGCTTGTCTTGTTCCAAACAGTGCCAATATCATAACAAAAGGCGCAGGTCCATATTTTATCTTGCCGGAACTACCATGTGTTTTCGGTTTGGATGCTGCCGGTGTTATTGAAGCTGTGGGAGAAAATGTTATTGGGTTGAAAGCTGGGGACCGAGTTTATGTTGACCCGCATATATCTTGTGGCACCTGTAAACAATGCCGAAAGGGTAAGTTGGGCGGGATACCGAGAATCTTTGTAATTTTCGCTAACGAAATGCAGGGAGGAGGGATTTATGCTTCTGGGGATGCTTGCGTGCGTACTTCGGCAATGGAGCCCCAGAAGGAAAGGCAGTTCTTAAACAATATCCCATTGGTTCACTCTCACAATATTTGTTATCACCTGATGCAAATATCGCCGTGATTCCTCCTTC